AGAAGAATTTCATGTAACAACATATAAGCAAGAGCTTGTGATGATGAGGAGGAAGTTCAAGCTGCTCTGAAAAAAACTGGCAAAAAAGCCCCAGAAATTGATGGCAGGCTAAGTGAAATATTTCAACAAAGTGACGCTGCCCTGGATGTGCTCACCAAGTTGTGCCAAGAAATCTGGAGGACAACCATCTGGCCAACTGATTGGAAGAGATCTGTATTTGTTCCCATTCAAAGGAAAAATGACCTGACAGAGTGTGGAAAATTACTGAACAATAATTCCACTATCACATGCAAGCAAGATTCTGATGAATATTTTCCAAAAATAACTAGAACAGCACATAAACAGTGAACTGCCAGAAGTGCATACTGAGTTTAGAATAGGCTGTGGTACTAGGGATATTGTAGTTAGTGTTAGATGGATCTTGGCTAAAAGCAGGGTGTACCTAAGGCATGTCTGACTTTCACTGACTATGCAAAGGCATTTGATTGTGCGGATCACCACAAACTGTGGCTGACTCTGAGAAGAATGGGAATTCCAGAACACTTGATTGTGCTTAAGTGAAAACTATACTTGGACCAGGAGGCAGTCGTCAGAACAGAGCAAGGAAAGACTGTCAGGGACGTGTCCTATCTCCATACTTTTTAAATCTATATGCAGAATGGATAATCCGGATGGTTGGGCTCTATGAGGCAAGAGGACTGGAGGAAGATTCATCAACAATCTGTGTTCTGCAGATGATACAAGCTTGCTTACTGAAACAGAGGAGGACCTGAAGCGCTTGCTGCAAAAGGTCAAGGGACTATACAGCATTCAATATGGATTGAAGTTCAACATCAAGAAAACAAAGATTCTCACCACTGGGCCAACTGGAAGCATCATGATAGATGGTGAAAAAATTGAGATTGTTAACAGCTTTAGTTTGCTTGGTTCCACAATCAAAACTTGGACAAGTAGCCAGGAAATTAAAAGACAAATTACATTGGGTAAGTCTGCAGTCAGAGACATCTCTAAACTACTGAAGAGCAACAATGTCAATGTGGAAACTAAGGTGTGCCTGATGCAGGCCACAGTCTTTGCAATTACTTGCTATGCACTGGAAAGCTAGACAATGACTAGAGATGACAGAAGGAGAATTGATGCCTTCGAGCTGTGGTGTTGGAGCAGAGTATTAAATATATCATGGATTGCTAAGGGAACAAACAGGTTCATCCTTGATAGGGTGAAACCAGGCTGCTCCTTAGAGGCAAGGATTCTGAAGCTTCATCTGACATACTTTGGACATGATGCAAGAAGGGACCAGTCCTTGGAGGGATGTCGTGCTTGGGAGGGTGGAGGGACAGCATAAGAGAGGAAGACCCTCACTGAGATGAATTAATTCAGTGACTGGGTAATGGGGGTAGGTATGTCAGAGACATTAAGATTGGCACAGGATAGAGCAGGGTTTATTGCTGTTGTACACAGGGTTGCTATAAGTTACAGGCACCGGACTGCACATAACAATCACCAAGTGTTTGACAGTCATACTTTTGACATTCCATGTTCTAATGAATGTTTACAGCTACTTCTCCTTATTTGGGGCACTGCCACAACAGCAAGTGAAGGTATTTTATTCTATCTATGTCATTATGGTGGATATACTACTCTGAAGCAGCAGCTCTTCTCGAATTGCACTTTTAATGTCTTCCAAACTAAAGCACTCATTTTCTGAAACTATATCCAACAATGTTCTTTTATCCATATGGTTTATGGAGGCCTTTTATTTCAGAAGTTGATGACCGTCTTGTTTTTAGTATGTCCAAGTGTGGATGCTCTTCCCTGAACCCATCCATCATGGGTGACAGAGCTGATTTCTCAAAAACTGCTTCAAGCATCACAGTAACACACAAGCCATCACTGCACAGCAAACCAACAGACGTGTAGTGGAGTCTTTCAACTGAAGCCAGTTTTTAGATTTATTTCTCCCTGTCAGTTTTCCATTTAATTAATTTCAGATTAAAAGAAGTATCTTTTAGTTTTGTTGTATATTTTCTAATTGTTCCTCTAATTGCTTAAGAAATTATTTTATCTTTCATCTATCTTCTTTAATAGTAAAGGTTATCATTACTATGTCACAAAAATACTGGTAAAAAGTATGTTCTTATTCCTAATTTTTGAGATATCTGTAATTTGTCTTTTGGCCGTTTCTTTGACCCAAAAGTTATGTGTGCAAGCACATTTCTCTAACCTTGCTGGAGACAAAAAGTTTTAAATCACTAATTTTCAATGCATTAAGTTATGATTAAAAAATGTGGTCTACAAAAATCTCTTTTAAAAAGAAGGTGAAGATTTCCCTGTGGTCAATTTTACGGGCTGTTGTTTTGTTTTTTTAAAAAAAGCTTTTTAAATTTTCTTTTTAAAAAGACAGTATAAAGGGAGCTCTGGTGGCCTAGTGGCAAGATGTTGCACTGCAATCCCAGAGGTACATGGTTCAAATCCACCAGATGCTCTGCTGGAGAAGGAGGGGGCAATCTCCTCCTATACCAGTCAGATCTAATTTAATGGTACATGTAAAAAAAAACCAAAACAAAACATTAAATAAATAAATAAATATATTTTTTTAAAAAGACAGTATAGTCTGGTAACTTCTGGCCAACAGAGTGGGAAGGAGGGAGACAACCTGTATATCCCTCCTGATGAAGAAGTCTCTCAGAATGAGCCAGTTTTAAAGCCTTCATGGATGTAATTTTTTTTTAAATTTTTATTATTGTGTGTGTGTGTGTGTGTACCGTCATATCAGATCTGACTGGTACAGAAGGAGATTGTCCCTCATTCCCCGGCAGAGGATCTGGTGGATTTGAATCATGCTCCTCTGGGATTGTAGTGCAGATTCTTGCCACTAGGCCACCAGAGCTCCCTGGATGTAATTTTTTAAAGCTCACATTTATTTAGCACTTGTCACTGTTACAATCCATTGACACCTTTTAATCTACTTAATCCTCTTACTAATACTATAGGTTCTATAATCACCACGGTGATGCACAAGGCATGTCACAAATGTATGAAAATAACCTGTCCATAGTGGAATGAGTTCTGGACTTAAGACAACATGGTCTAGATTTCTTAAGCCAGTTGCCACCAAGTCAACTGCTGCTGACGGCAACTTGAGTCTTGTGTATCACAGAAGAAGTTTGCTTCTTAGGGATTTCAATGGCTAGTTTTTTAGAAGCAGACTTTTCTTCCTCCAGATCTTGTTAGTTCAAACCCCTATACTGTATTATTTATAAACTTATGACAGTTAAGTTTTACTGACTGTACTCTATTGAGAATTTTAAAACATCTCTAAACACCTGATGGTGCTCAAGTGAAACACATACTTGGATCAGGAGGCAGTCATCTGAACAGAGTATGGAAACACTGCTAGGTGCAAAATCAGGAAAGGAGTGTGCCAGTGATGTGTCCTGATTTCATACCTTTTCAATCTGAATGAACAATAGATTATTCAAGAGGCTGGACCTTAGGAAGCAATGTGGCATAAGGACTGGAGGAAGACTCATAAAAAAACCTGTATTATGAAGATAACACAACCTTACTTGCTGAAACTGAGAAGGGCCAGAAACATCTGCTGCAGAAGGTCAAGGATGGCAGACTCCAATATTGGATTGAAGTTCAACATCAAAAAAACAAAAATTCTAACAACTGGGTCAAGAGGCAGCATCATAATAGAAGGAAAAGAGACTGAGATTGTAAACAATTTCAGCTTGCTCAGCTGCACAATCAATACTCTTGGCAACAGCAGTCAAGAAATCAAAATACAAATTGCACTGGGAAAATCTGTCAGGGATCTCTCCAGAGTGCTTAAAGAGGAAGTAAGTCAGTCTAGAGACTAAGTTGTGCCTGATCCAGGCCATGGTCTTTGCAATCAATTGCTATCCACTGGAGAGCTGGACAATTACCAAGGATGACAGATGCCTTTGAGTTGTGGTGCTGGAGAAGAGTACTGAACATGGACCACCAAGAAAGCTATCAGATCTGTCCTGAAAGGGTGAATTCAAGCTGTTCCTTGGAGGCCAAGATTTTGAAACTCTGTCTCACATACTCTGGTCATGTAGCTATGAGGGACCAGTCTTTGGAGAAGAATATCATGCTTGGAAGGGTTGAGGGAACAGCGCAGGAAAGGGAAGACCTAGATGAGATGGACTGACACAGTAATAGGGGTAATGAGGTTAGGGTTGTCAGAGAGAGTAAAAATGGCTCAGGACAGAGCACAGTTCAAAGCTATTGTTAATAGGGTCACGATGAGTCGTAGTCAATTCGACAGCACATAACAACAGCAACAATCACATGATAGGCATTGTTTTCAACACTTTCCATGGATTATTCTACTTCATCCTTCCTCACAAGACCTGAGAAGGAAGATATTTTTTACTATCCCCATTTTACAGATGGGAAACTTAGGTACAAGGAGGTTATAGAACTTCTCTAAGGTCTCAGTACTCTTATGTTACAGTCAGGATTCAAACCCAGACAGTCTGATTTCACTAAGCATACTCTTACACACTCCATGATCTTCCCTTTTGAAGGAACACTAATGATGAAAGATATAAATCTTCAACATAAATAATTCTAAAATTTTACATTATAAATAAACTTTAGATGTCCATCAATGACAGAATGGGTAAATATATAGAATCGATACAATGAAGTACAAGCAGAAGTTAAGCAGAGCTCTGCATACTAAATGGAAACATGTTACCTCAGGTAAACAATGAGCATGCTTGTTGCAAAACACAATTTTGAATATACAGAGAAAATTTCTGAAAGGTAGGTATCAAACTGTGATTAGCAAAATTTATGTCAAAAATGAAATTGGCAAGAAAAGATGTTTCACTTTATTCCACTCTAAATTACTTAGACAAAATGAAACAAATGCCTAATTTACACTTAAAAGCATGTCAGTGTTGTGTTTTTTTTTTTAAAAAACAAACCAACCCACAAAAACTCTAATGACTATAAAACCAATGTTGATATGCTCTGTGACTTTTCCCTCTTGAATTTACCTTCAGTTCTTGGATTAACAGGATTCTTTTGTCTTTTAAGTTCTTTAACTCTTTCTCATCCCAGCACCGAGCTTTGTATTTTAAATCACTTGATCCTCCAGAAATCACTCCCGATTTTAAAAATAATGTTCCATCAAGAGCTACCGTCTGAAATGAAAAAGTATAATACCTTTAGAAACGTACATAAAATTTGATCAAGAATTGCCCAGAGAGGATACCAAGGTTTAACTACTGGGAAAAAAACATAAACAATAGGATTCAGTAGGATTTTGAGGTACAGTCTTCCCAGATTTCAGTACTTTCCTTTCAAAGGGAAGTTCTAAGCATTATCTACTGTTTTTCATCTTCATTTCTTCCATAGGAAATAAAACATGTGTGCAAGGATAAAAAAAAAAAAAGAAACGTACATAAAGAAAATAAAGAATAAAGATATAACAATTTTTACAGGTAAGACTTTATACCTGAGACGAACAGTTCTAACAAAAGGATATAAAACAGAAAACAAACAAAGCTTAGAAAATAATAAAATGAAATCAACAAATACTACTGAGGTCAAAGGCAGAGGAAAAGATGTAAGAAATACTTAGAAGGCATCATCAGAATAGCTGGAGCCTACTGGATGCAGAGGCCAGGAGGGAATCCTAGAAAACAGGACTCCATTCTACTGGAAAGGAGGTACAAACTGAAGTAAGAAAATGAAAACTTCAAAAGAAATGAAAACTTGAGAAAAGACCCGTTAAGTTCAGATTCACACATGCCGACTTTGCGGTGCCTACAGGGTAAGTCACTTCTGACATCCATTTTGGTCTTTTCTTCCTCTCCTGTCTTTGTAATGGCCGTTTGCACTCTTCCTGGATGATACCTTTGACATCCTCCCACAACTCATCTGGTCTTCGCTCATTAGTGTTCAAGGCCTCAAAC